AAACAAGGAATGCTGGGCATACCTGTAGCATGAGGACATGTACGATTGAAAGCTTTGACTTGAAAGAGCATTTAGGAATCCAAGTGGATGAACAACTCCCACTTCATCACTGTGCCTAGAAGAGCTAATGCATTCTTGGATGTTTAGGCAGAGTAGTGAATGGGAGTAGAGGAGTGATTTTTACCTCATTGGTGAGATCAGTAATGAAATATTCTGCCCAATTCAATGTTTAAAAATTGGAGAAGGTACAAAAAAGACCCACAAAAAATATTCAAGGTCTGGAGAAAACAGTTTACTGTGCAAGACTTATTGTTCAATCTGTTTGACCCATCAAATAGAATATTGAGAGATGGCTTGATATACAAGTACTTTCCCAGGGAGACAATATCAGGTACTAAAGAAATCTAATATCGGAGAAGGTCAAAACAGGAACCAGTGACTGGAGACTGAAGCCAGACAAATTCAAATTTGAAACAAGGCACTGCTTTTTAACTGAGAAAGTAATTAACCAGACTAGCAAGGGATGTGCTGAACTCCCTCGATAGCTTCACATCAAGACAAGATGCCTTTCTGGAAGATATCCTTTAGAAGTTACTGAGCTCATTACAGGGTCAAGTTCAAGGGTCCAGTCAAGCCAAGCAGTTCATCAAGGTTAGTATGGTAAAGGCATCTCGGTTGCTGTACCCCAATGGCATAGAAGAGAATGACGTGACTAGCATGCCATTTATCTGCTTTTGACTCTCTTACCCAAAGGAACTGGCACAGCTGTGTCACTGGAGGCAACTCATGATTCCAAAGACATAGTGAGACACTTTAATTGCTCTACTATCACACCCAATGCAGGGACATTAGGTTGAAATTCTATGGGCCAGTGATGAAAAGATGTCATGATAGATGATCTGACGGCCTCTTTTGGCTTTAAAGTCTAGGAATTGCTGATACTGTATTGTAATTAGAAAAGACAACATTTTTACCTATTTTTCCTAGTGCACACAATGATAAATACACAATATTGAATAAGGCAACAGTAGTGTGATGGCTTTAGACTTTTTTAGGCAACATGAAGTAAGTATTCCAGGACAGTAATTCAGTGAATCAGCTACTTCTCCAGAGAAAGAAGGGAGATGTTTCCCAGCATGAATATGCAAGCAACCTTAGTCCGCTTCTCTAAAAATATAGCACCTTTCCAAAACAATGATTATTTAGATCAGCACGTAGAAATTTTGCAAAATGATTTGGTCTTGATGATGTATGTAGTATGTCTTCTTAGCTAGATAGAGAAGACAGCTCCAAAACATTGTCCCAATCCATAGATCTGTATTGACTGTAGGAATAATGAAAATAGAGTGAAAAGTGACATGCCACATTTTTACTTTAGACCCTGTAGTCAATGGGGTGTCACTTTAAACTCCTACAGTTTCCTTCCTCAAATCAGTTCTCTTCCAAAATCCTTAAAATTGGAATGCATAACATATAAGAATATTAGGGAGGAATGCCATGTTTGAAAAATAATGGGAAAAACACTATAACAATTATATTTTTATCCATACAAATATATTAGAAATGTGTTTATGTATTTCAGACCTCAAGTAAGCATGCAGAATAACACTCATCTCACATAGGGAACCTATTGCTTCTGACAGCTCCACCAACATTGCCTTGTTACTCCTCACCGCATTCCCAGGAGGTATCATATTATTTTTATGGGGGCCATTTGTTTTGGTACACAATCTTATTTTAATATTTTGTTCTATTTTATAAATTATTTTGGGGAAGGGGGCAGCTTGTAAGTCTACTAACTACATAAATAATATTGCAAGAGAAATTGAGGTCAGACCTGGGCTTAGTGCTTCACAGGTCATGGCGCCCAGTCATGCAATCAAACTGTTGTCCTCCCTTGTGCTAGAAGAAATGGATAATTACTAGTTATCCTAAGGATCTCCCACCTGTACAGCTGTCATGGAGCTACAGGCAGAGATACTGGAGAGGATTCCCTGGTTCCAAGTGGCAGTGGGGGCTGTGTGGCATGTTTTAGAGGGAGTGATGTTTAGGAGATGGTTCCCTGTGAGAAGTGGTGAACTAAAGGTCCCTGGTGGAGGGAGCTAGCTGTGACTGAGGGGAGGTTGACCCCCCAAGGGCTTTTCCTAGAAGTGTTACGAGGGCTAAAGGGGAGTCCAACAGTTTTGTTTTATCATATTCTATTGTCAAAGCATGTGATCACTTTTTCGTTCCATGTAATAAGCCCTTTCGTTGTTTTTTCCTGTTATTTGACTGAAATGCCTGTGGTAAATTGTGATTTCTGGGCAAATTAATAACCTGAGCATACCAATTCAGTAGAGTAGGAGGACCAGTAAAGTTACACAAATCTGGGGTGCAGCTCTGAGAGCCAACCCAAGCCCCCAGGGTTTTGTCTCAACAGCTATTGAATAGTCATTTCAACATTAATGTTAGTGCTACTACCACCCTAATGTAAAAACAAATGTGCTCCAATAATAAGTGAAAGGTGGAGCTGCCTTTCGAATGTTACCTGTACCCAAATTCTGTGCAGAGAGTACTCTATATAGTTAATGCCTGCTGCCTGCTTGCTGTGCACTCCTGGCCAAGAGAGAAAATAAAAGGTGAAAACTTGAGTTGAATGGCAACAGTACTTTCCCTGACTCTCAGGACAGATTGGCGTGAATAATTCAGTGTCATTCATTTCACATTCAACATAAGACTCTGTCGAATGTGAAATGAACCAAGTTGGAAAGCCAGGTGCCACCAGGGAGAATGGGTATCTTTATCTGGGACCCAGAAAGAGCATGGGGAGAAGCCAAGGAAAGAGAGTGGGAAAGGCAGACCCCTTCCACACATAAAAGGAATGTGAGACAGTGCTACAGAGGAGGGAGAAGAGAGAAAGGGAGACAGTAAGATGGTCAGAGCCGGTAAAAGAAGGCAAGACAGACAAGAGAGACACTGAAAGAGGTGAGCAGTAGAAGGGAGCCATTTTGCAGGGGCCTTAGCACACTGACCTCCATTCAGCAAAGCCCCTAAAAATATGCTTAAATATAAGCCCAAGGATTCTTGTGGTCTTCTGTGTTCATGTATACAAAGTGACTGTGCACTTTAGTGGCTCCTTTGTGAGAGCTAAGCATGTGCCTGAAAGGTCTGCAGGTCTTCCTCACAGGATGTAGCCTGTACACACAAAGGCCTTGTCTATGCTTACTTGGTTTTGCTGGCAGAAGCTCTGACGACATGCAGCAAGCCACCAGAGCATGCACACATCAGTACACTTCTGGTGACTGCAGAGTTTGCCCTCAGCAGCTGGGCATTGGAACAGGAAGTACAGACTGCAGAAGAGCTTTGAATATAGATGCATGCAAAAGTGTTGCAGAAGGCCGTGGTGTTGGTAGTAAGGTGTAGTAGACAGAGGACATGTGCACATGCACAGTATAGCCCATAGATCCATCATGGAGGGGAACACAGGTGAGCAGCTGAGTGCTTATGCCAGCGGTGCTGTGCCTGGCTCTGCTGCCAGCTCTATCCTCTTTGGTGATGAGGTGGCACTTTAGACCAATACCTCTTAGCTAGGGGAGGTCTTGTAAACAGACAATTTGCTGGTTTACTGCATGAGACAGGGAAGTGAGCACTGACTCCCTAAATATCATCCACAGGAAGGTGCATGTTCTTCCCAAAGCACCATTTTGCTTGTTTCAAGGAAGCCCGTACAGAAATCTGCATCCAATGCCCCTCAGTGGAGCTGCAGAGGCACAGAAAAATGTTCTGACCCTTTGCAATGAGAAAGGGTCTGCCAGGCATGAGTGAAGAAAAGACAGCGCAAAGATACAAATGACCTGGGAAAGAAGCATGCTAAAGAGCACCTTCCATTTCACCTGAGCCTCAGGACTCCTTCCAACACCAGCTTGCTGCTTTTGTTTTAAATTTCATGTCTGGGCCCAAATTAGTCAAATCAGTTCCAAATTCCAACCACTGAGCAGAGCTGAGTAGTTCAGGTCCATGAGGTGTTATCACCAGTGAGGATCTTACTTCCCAGACTTCAGTGGGGGGCTTCTGATACTCCCAAATCCATGGCACACATCCCACGTGCAAACCCCAAGTTGGAGGTCTTGGGGTTGGGATGCCCCAAGTCTCACTTGCCCTCAGCCAAGCCATTTGTCTCTGGCTCTCATTAGCCAGGAGGCCAAAGGAGCAAACTAGGAAGAAATCCCCCATCTCCATAAGATAAAGGGAGCCACTGAGATCTTCCACTGGGGGGCTACAGTATAGACATCTCCACCCTCAACTACACAAAGCCATTCAAGGTGAGGGAGGAGGGGAGCTCCGTTTCCAGGTGCAGCAAAGCCACCTGGACTGACAGCACGTCCACTGTGGTGCTGATCATGGCATCTCCCCGGCCAGGTGCCAGCTGGTTGAAGGTGCCTCTAGAGCAGCTCCTGTTCTTGGTCTCTTCTACGTGGCGGGGGGGTCCGGGCCCCCAGCCCTGCCGGTGAGCGTGAGGACATGGGCACTTGGAGAGGGCCGCGAGGGCCCCAGGGGCGCCTGCGCCTGCCCACTGATCGCAGTACGCAGAGGGTCCCTGCTCTGCCCGGGCTGCGAGGGGGCCGGCGGGGAGGCAGGGCAGACACACGCCCGCGGGGCGCTAAGTTTGGGATCGAGCCCGTTTCTGGGGGCGGAGGCGAGCCCGGCCGCTCCCGCCCTGCCCT